CGTTTCTGAACTTGAGCTTGGGTCTAAGACTAAGATGGAGTACCTCGCAACCCTAAAAAAAGAAGAAATCTTCTGGTTTCAGAGGTCCAAGGTTACATGGTTGAAAGCAATGGATCATAACACTAGCTTTTTTCACCGAATAGCAAACTGTCGGCGTAGAGATAACGCTATCTCGATGATAAAAGTCAGCAATTCTTACCTTACCCATGCGGATGATATTGAACAAGCCATCCTTCACTTCTTTCAGAACTTATACTCTGCTCCCTCTGAACCCAAACCCAGTTTGTCGACTCTAGACTTCCTTTCTCTCAATGATGACCAAGCAGCCTGGCTACAGCGACCTTTTTCTGAACTTGAGATTCTTAACGCGGTCAAAGCGCTAGCAAGTGACAAGGCCCCTAGGCCTGATGGTTTCCCGATTGCTCTCTTTAAGGAGTATTGGGGCGTAGTCAGTCAGGACTTTATCAAATTCTTCGAGGAATTCTTCCATAGGGGCATCCTAAATAAAGCCATGAATGCCACTTTCCTTTCCTTAATGCCCAAAAAAGGAGTTGAGGAAATTAAAGACTTTCGGCCTATCAACCTCCTAAACTCCTCCTACAAGATCCTGGCAAAGGTTTTAGCATCCAGGCTGCAACTTGTTTTGTCTTCTATCATTTCTCACTCTCAATCTGCCTTTGTCAAAGGTCGACAAATTTTTTATGGGGCTTTGGTGGCCCATGAATGTGTTCATTCTAGACACATATCAAAACTACCAGGCCTAATCTTTAAAATTGACTAGGAGAAGGCATACAACCATGTGGACTGGTCAGTTTTGGAAGCGACTATGGCCAGAATGGCTTTTGGGGAGAGATAGAGGAATTGGATATTGTTACTTGAACCCTCACTTTTCCATCCTCATTAATGGAGCGCCTGTTGGCTACTTCCCCTCATCTAGGGGTCTCAGGCAAGGAGATCCCCTCTCCCCTTTCCTCTTTGATATAGCGGCTGAAGTTTTTAGCCGATCTTTTGCTCGCGTCTACCAAGATGGCCTTATCACAGGTTTCGAATCTAGCAAACAAGGGCCAACGATCACTCACTTACAGTACGCGGACGACACTTTAGTCTTCCTGAATGATACAGCTAGTGAAGTAAAAAACCTTAGATTTTTCTTACCTATTTCCAATCTGCTACTGGTTTCAAGATAAACATGGAAAAATCCTGCATGTTGGGGGAGCTTTATCACTTGACCAGATTGGGGATCTCATTTCAGATTGGGATTGTAAAGCACAAAACTTGCCTACTACCTACCTGGGCCTTCCCTTGGGTGTCGGTAAACCTAGAAAGCAGCTTTGGTCGTCCCCTGTGTTGGATAAGGTCGATCGTAGATTGGCCGGGTGGAAGGGTAGATACCTTTCCTTTGCAGGAAGAACCACCTTGATAAAAGCCACCTTAGCGAACTCCCCAATCTACCTCATGTCCCTTTACCATATGCCTGCTCAGGTGGCTAACCGCTTGAGCCAACTCATGATAAATTTCCTTTGGTCTGGGCAGGAAGACAAGAAGAGAAACCACCTGGTGACCTAGAATAAGGTTTGCCAACCAAAAGAGCAAGGAGGTCTTGAGATGAAGGTACCGCGCAAGTATATGCAGAGTTACTTGGGAAATGGGGGTGGCGCTTAGCCACTCAGCCGAATGCCCTTTGGGCGCAGGTCTTAAAACACAAAATACAAGACCCCACCTCAGAAATGGCTCCTTGATGGAGTTTAAGCCCATAATACCTCAGGGGCATGGAAGTCACTCTTGAATGTCCTGTCTTCTTTTAAGAAACATACTAGGTTCCACCCAAGGGAAGGGACGAGAGTTAAATTTTGGCTTGATCCATGGTTAGGGACTTCTCCCCTCCGTGAGGCCTTCCCTACTGTCTTCGCTCTGGCCCGAAACCAAGAGTCTTCTGTAGCACAAGAGCTTTGCAGCCTGGGAGGCCACAGAGTCTGGAATCCTTCCTTTAGAAGGAGCCTAATGAGGTCGAGCAATTAAAATCTAGGATGACCCCAATTTCCAAAATCTCATTTTCTCTATCTACCTTTATCGCGACGCTCCTACCAGGGCTTTTCCTTATCATATCAACAACTTCAAAAACAGAGAAAGTGGATTTGGACAAAGAATTACCATTTACACTGAGAATTATATCCCAAGAGCATAATCCTTCAGCAAATTCTGATATAACTAGTACCCTATCGATAATTGGTCTATTCTTTAACAAATTCTCATCATCAACTAGGATATCACTCTCGGAGTCATCAACAAATTCTGATATAACTAGTACCCTATCGATAATTGGTCTATTCTTTAACAAATTCTCATCATCAACTAGGATATCACTCTCGGAATCGTTGTCAATAAAACCCACAAAACCACCTAAAGGAAAGGCACTGATAGAGAAATCCACACTTTTGGCATTGACTTTCGCTAACACAAGACCGAAACCCACAACAAATCTACTCACATGGATACATTGAAGATATGCAGCCAAGAAATGGCCATTCTCATGGACTATGATATTGGCTGCCAAGCTAACACAAGACCAAAACCCACAACAAATATACACACATGGATTCCTTGAAGATATGCAGCCAAGAAATGGCCATTCTCATGGACAATGATAATGATTTCCAGCGACTTCGGAGCTCTCTGCACCCTCTCTATTTCTCTTCACAAGGAAATGATAATATAATTTGGACCTTAAACCCCCCGGGTAATTTCTCAGTGGCTTCATTCTACAAAAACCTCACCTCCCATCCCCCCCCTTCCGAAAACTTTTCTAGAATTTGGTCCACTATTGCACCACCCAAAGTTCAGGCCTTCAACTGGCTCGCCTTCTCTAGTAAAGCCCTCACAGTTGACCAACTTCAAAGAAGAGGACTGCCCATTCCGAATAGGTGTGTCTTGTGTGAATGCGAGGAGCAAACAAATCCCCATCTGCTCTTGCTTTGTGCATTCTCATCAGACCTATGGGGGAAGGTCTTACAACTCTTTGGCATACAAGGGTTACCCCACCCTCGGTACCAGCCCTCCTGTCCTCCAACCTTGAAGCAAGCTGGCCAAAGGCTGGTAGAATCCTGTGGAAAGCAACCTTAGTTGCTACCATTTGGCTACTTTGGTTGGAAAGAAACTCCATAATTTTTCGAGGAACAAAGCTTTCAGTTTCGACCATCTTTCAAAAGGTTATCACCCTGGTGACCTTTTGGGCATCCAACTTGAAGTTCTTTGCCGGTAGTCCTGGTTCCTTCTTCCTTTCCCATTGGGGAAATATCCTTCTTCACCAACCACCACGGGCAGCTAGGCCAAGTCTCTGGTTACCACAGAGCCAAGGTAGCATCAAACTTAATTTTGATGGGTGCTCCTTGGGGAACCCCGGCCCAGCAGGGGCTGGGGATGTTTTCCGAGACTTTGAAGGCAATATCCTCCTCAATTTCTCCGAATACCTCGGCTTCAGAGACTCTAACTTTGCGGAAGCCTCAGCCCTCCTCATTGACCTCAAAAAATGCAACTCATCCTGGGGCTCAAGCTTGATTGTGGAGGGTGATTCCAAGAATGTCATCTCTTGGGCCAGTAGGACTTGTGATCCTCCTTGGTGCTTGTTGCAAGTGTTTGACAAAGTTCAACAAATCTGCAGGGCTATGGACGTCTCATGGCAGCATACCTGGAGGATGTCCAACGACTTCATGGACCGGCTGGCGAAGGAGGGTGCTAGAAGACAGGGCAAGGCAGCCCACACTGGCTCCACTTCCTTGTTTGCTTTGGACCAGTGCACCCCTTGTAATTTTGTGGGCCATTTTGTTCTCATACTCTGTGTACGACAGAAGGGGGGCATTTTTATAAGCCCTTTCCTTATCTCTTTTTTTGTATATCTTTTATTGGAGGGGAAAGTCTTTTATTGTACAGGGGTTTTTCTCCCTTTTTAACAGGGGGTCCCGTCTAGTCGGTTCACCAGGAGCTACAAAACTTTGTACTTCCCTTTCTCAGCAATACAAACGTTAACATTTTCAAAAAAAAAAAAATCCATCATACTTTCAGTAATAAGACCACCCGTATTTTTCTCGAAGGACCACAATGCACCAGGTCTGGGAGTTCATAAGAAGTCAACCCTATATTGCATTGATACATAATTTATCAATGCAAGATGGAAAAGTTCTACCATAGGAGAACAAACAAAACATAATCCACAGAAGTTATAAAAGAAAGCTCAACAGAACCCATCGATTATAGATGCCTGTTACTATAACCTATGATCTCGAGTTTCAAATCTAGATTCTCAACTTACCATTCAAATCGAACAAGAAATCAGATCATACAAAACACTAAAGATAACAGATGACGTCAACCCATGAAATCCAACGTTTATCAGCTAATCCAAGCCATTTTGAATTGAAGAACAACTTGAAGAAGAAGCAGAAGAAATAGAATTGACATCCATCAAGAGCCTAAGAACATCAGTTTTTATTGAAGTTCTCTTGAACCCTGTTATAGGCCTCACAGCCATCAACAGGAAAAACATCCCAGGATAATTAGGGCATTGCAGCTAGTTCATCTGGAATAAAGATAAAGCCATGGTGAAAGATTGAAATGATAAACGCAACAAACAGAATGGATAGTGCAATTGAGACTCTTTTTTTTTGAAAATATGCGAATGGAATTTCACCAATATATCATAATGTTCTTTCAACAAGGCTTAGTGGGGAAGGGAACCAAGTCTAGTGAATTTCCTCTCGAAAGGCATTTAACAATTTATCTGAACCAGAAGAGATCATATATAAAGAAACTAATTAATTGAATTCGAGTTTCATCAGAAAGGTAAAGAATCATGTATTTAAGAAAAGATGGGAAGTAAATTTTCAAGTTACAACTCAGAATCCAATATGGTATGAATTTACCATTTTGAGTTTTTGACTCGCCAAATGCGAGTTTGGAAACATGACTAGCATGGTAGAAAATATTCAATCTCAATAAAATCATACCTGCACTGAATTTGACTGTTCCTCAACAGTTGTCAGGGCTAAAGCACCCACAGCATCGGGACCAGACTCCAATCCCGGCATCAGATTTTGCTCACTTGAAACACTAGCAGCAGTAGGGCCTTCAATAGCAAGTGGACTAAGAAGATCACCAAGGAGGTCAGCAGAAGGAGGGGCAGCAACAGGAGCAGGTTGAGGATCCATGAGGACCATGGCTCCATTAGCATGAATCAATTCTTGATCAGCCAAATTAGTATCCTGCAATTCTCCTAGTGTCAATCAGAAGCTCCAGACACTAACATTACTTCTGGTTTGTATTCAGAAAAACAATAAGAATGTTTTACTCACATTAGCATGCTGCATGCTCGGCATCTTGACAAGACCAACAGACAGAGGTCCGTTAGCCGGAGGCTGGTCAGTTACAACCAAGGCATTTGAAGTCTGCTGTTGGGTTCGCATTTTGATAGCACTTTGCTCAGCAGTGTCAACTTCAGTATCTTCTGCTCTCTTAAGCAAAGCAGACTGTTTTCAACAAAATTGATATAGTCAATGCTCTCAGTAAAATAAACAGTTACCTGTACTTCGTAAATCAAACAAAAACCGCAATACCTAGTGAAACTATTGCACAGTTATATTTCAGAAAGTAGCTTAGCAAGGGGTACCTGTCGCTCAGGGAACTTAGGCATTTCAGCTAATATGTCCATTAGTGCCGCACCTTTACGACTAAGAGCAAAATATTCAACAGCTCGCTGCTGAATCTCTACATCAATGAAACTCTCGTACCTGGCAGAGATGCACAGTTGCATTTGACATTTATGAAAATGCAAAGGAAAAAAAAGTTCATTATCATCCAACAGATACTAGAAACAAATTGAACCATCATCCTCACTTGTTGAATATTGTCCAGATTTGATCCTGCAATTCTGGATCTGGAGGCTGAGTGTGCATCAAGATCTTAGCATAGGTTGAAAGAATAAGAGGGACCGTAGAAGTCCTGCAAGAGAACAAGAACATTAGACAAGAAGATTTGCCCTCCAGAGAAAGTAAATGGGAAGATGCAGATCACAATTGTTTAGGAAGTATAAAGGGTGTATCACTTACGACACAGTGGGGAGCTTATCATTTATCATAGCAAAAATTTCCTTAGGGCTAAAGCCAGGCCTTCTAGCTAAAAGATGGCTATACTCTCCCAGAAGATAAGAGCTCACCTGCATGCAATTACTCACAGTCAAAACATATAAGAATATAATGCTTTACAGTTTAAAGAACCAGCAAGTCAATGGAACATGAAATTGAAACTTCTTGCTGTCCCAGCTATTTCAGTAAATTATGCCTGCATATCTATGAGCGAAATAATTATCAAACATATTATGAAAGACTTCCCGTAATTTCTGTGAGCTCAAACTTAGTGAAAAATGAGGCTCAAGATAATTCAATAAAGGGAATGAACTGGATGCCAATCTGGTAGTGCTCCCGGTGTAATGGAAGCCTGGTCGGAGTGTAGATTCAATGAGGTGGAGATCATGACTGTGGTTTTCACACTTGGGAGGAATAGGATCTCAGGTCTCACTTGGATACATGAGCGCATTCTTGAATTTTGTAGAAGATAGAAAATAGGGATATTCTCAAGCCTCTCCAGAAGTACTATGCAGGTGAGATCTAGACAATCTCCAATGATACCTTCATATCGATTCCAAGTGAAAGTGGTTAGAGCTATAAAAGCTTTAAGCCCCACTAATCAGGTAGGCGACGATCCTAGCTAACATGCTAGCCATGAGGCTGAGAACAATTTGGGCACACATGGTTGTCCCCTCTCAAGGAGCTTCATCTGGGGGAAAAAGATCGTAGTAGTGGACTGGTTGCCCACAAATGCTTCAACTCAAGATGACATGGAAGAGAGGCCAAGACTGAGATAATGAAAAAGAAAACCATATAGACACATCCAATATTTATTAGTTGCTCAGATGGAAGGGCTTCAGAGGCAGTTCTTGATTACTATCCCCTTCGGTGCCCTGATTAGAAAGCGACTAAAGTTCTTATTCCTATGCAAATGTGTACAGAAGTTTTGCTTTTCCTACTAAGTTCTGAAACCTCGTTCTAAAAACATCCTTAGACAATAAAAAGAAAAAATAAAGAGCAAACTGGAAAGTTACCAAGGTAAAGGGAAAAAACTAAAAACTGGTCTGAAATGATGGTGGAAATGACAGACCTTGACCATTGTCTCATGCACCGCAGGTTTATCAAGGAACTCTCTAGCTTTTGCTGCTGCATATGGCTGCAAAGATAGATATTGACTAGTTCATGAGAAATATCAAAATAGCTTTGAACGAGAGGGAAATCATGAAAGAAATTCATCAGAAAAAATCATGAAAAAAGTTTTAGATAAGAACGAGAAGTAAATGCCATGGCACAGACACCTGCAAATCTTCATTGTTTGTGACAAACTGGACCACCCGGTACCATATGTCATCACTAACAAAATCACCTGCCTTATCAATCAGCTGAAGAATCACATCAACATACCTACAACAGAAAAACAAGTGAGATATCTGCCACAAGATGAACTTCCAAAAAGTAAAAAAACAGAGCTTTCCATGCATTATGATCTAGAAGTTATTCACAACCATGTTACATTGAAGGCCCAAAAAGACTTCAATCAATTTTAGTGGGACACACCAGAGGAAGAAATAGTTGCCGAGCTGACAACAATCATTCCATTCTACAGGACACCAAAGAACTAGGCAATGTATACGAGCTTAGCCATAGGTATTCACAAGCATGCTGTATAAGAAACAGAGGAGATACTAATCTCTTTTATTTAAATTTGGCATGGAAGCTAACGCAAGTCAAAAAACACACCAGAGGAAACAAGGTGACAACTTAGGTGAAAACATGTTAACCACCCTCCATTTTCCACCCCGTGCCTCTTTTGCCTGTCTGATCCAAAGTTCTCTGCACTTGAACATGTAAATACCCCTCCATACAACCAAAAGATTCATCCTCTCACTTTAGGAATTATTTTATTCACCAATAGACAAGATCATGGTCAAGATCTTGCACACACGACTCACCCAGTCGACTTGTCTAAGGGCCATATCTGTTCAAAAGCTTCACACCTTCTGAAGTCCTCTTCTGATGGGTTCCTCGGCTCCACTTCAAAAATCAACATCACAAACAAGATACTGGGCAAAACCATCACCAGGGGCTACTAAAAGGCCCAGAGGGGAAAGTTGCCCTCTTTACCACCTCCAACCACTCTTCGAAGAACCAAATCAAGAAATGAACTAGTCCAAGTAAGTAATCTCTCTCAAGATGGGTGGGAGAGGGAGGAGAAGGAGGAAAGCAACATCTCTTCCTTCTCAAAAGGCCTCTCCAACTCCAAAATGGTTGACTCTTAAAATTCAGTTGCTTTAGCAGATCAAAAGGAACCCTACTCAAAGAAGCCCAAGCTTGTCCGCCTTAACCAAAAAAACGAAATTTTGCCTAGGACAAGCACACATCAACTTACAGAGAAAACCATATTATGGACTCATTAAAATAATATCTACTAAGCCTCATCCCGAGCAAATCAAGGCCGAAACCATTACCTTAAGTGAATAAATAGATTTATATGAGGGTGTATGTGTGCATGCATGCATGCATGCATGTACTTGTTTATATGTTTATATGTCTTTGAAGTTATTCTCTCATTATATTGCAGATTAAAAAATAAATGCTTCTCAATATTTGTCTCAATTGCTAGAATGCAGGCTCAAAACCCAAGGTTCCCAATGAGAATGCGTGCAGCAGAAGCAAAATAAAACTCACCCTTTACAGTAAAGATGATTATAGTTCTTGTTCAATGCATAAACTTGAGTGGAGAAGTATTGTTTTTTCAGAAATTGATGTAACTAAAGTAACTACTCTCTTTCAAAAGAGAGGACCACTTTCCCCAATGTCTCACTTGGGAGCAGTGATTCGCTGTTAACTTGGGACATCAGACTTCTTTTTCTCTTCTTTTCTTTTTTTTTTCTTATTTTGATAGATGACTTGGAAATGAGATACCTAATCACTGATATTTAATTCTAGATCAACCAATATCATTACAAATAGAGAAGAACAACATCAAGCTTCATGAAAAACACAATCTCAAATATAGAAAATAGTGATGTTTGATACAAGGCTTTCAGTGAAGGGCAGAAAACTAATTTTCAATCAGAAAATCGAGCAAATGCACACAACCATCGCAGAAAAGAACAAAGACAAGTCCCCACAATGTTGGGCCATCCTTAAAATACAGTAGCTTTCCTAAATACAATGTCTCAGAAGCAACACCTAAAATCTAGCTAATACAGCATGAACATCTCTAGTCTAGACTCTAGAATAATAGAGCCTGTGAAAAAGGAAGACTTCTATCTTACCATGACAAATCTGGAGCAAATTTTTCTGCAAGAATTGCAGCTTTTAAAGCCAGCTCCTCGCGCATCACAAAGTCTGCTGTGCTGAGATACTGAGTAAGAAGCAAGGAACAATCAATAATAGCACTCCAAAAATTACCAAAAAGAAAGTTTATTCAATTCCTGCTAATCAATATCATAAAATACAAACACAATAGCCCGAAAAAGAGCAAGCTTATTCCCCAAAAAAGAACATAAAACAAAACTGCAGTTTTTTAGCATTTCAAGGCACCTGCAATAGCTCCTCGACTATGTCCTTGGCATTGGTAACATCACACATGCCATACAACAAATCAAGTGCCCGTCTACGGATGCTGCAGAAACAGGCACCAAAAGAACACAGATTATTGAATTGCATACATTACAAACACAAACGTTGCATAGGCAAGATTACAGGAGCACGAGGACGAAAGATAAATGCCACATAGAAAAGATCTGAATCACTATATATGTCACCCTCATGCATAAATAGAGATTGGGAAACATACATGTAAATGTAGAACTCTTTGTTTCTCAGTGAAAATTGACTATATTGTATAACAGAAACAGCAAATTTCATAGCTCTGTGCCCCATACAATTTTAAACATTCAGGACAGTTTTTACAACGAAGGAAAGCAAATTTCATAGCTCTGTCCTCCATACAATTTTGAACATTCGGCTATGTATCATTTGGATGAAGTAAGCAGCTCATACTCATCCACACTCCACACTACAGCAAGAATATATTTTAGCGAGACACTTACTGTGGATGAAGTATCTCCTGTTTGTTCAGTTAGACACCCCTCCGATGAGGATTTTCAAACAAATATGTGCCTAGCATGTAGGGCTGCCTATAGGCATGGCTCAGCCAGGCTATTGTTAACCCAGGCTCGGTCTGAATGGGTTTGGAGTACGACTAGGCCCAGTGCAGGTCTCAAATATTTGTAGAAGGGCCAGGCCCATTAACAAACAGGGCGGATAAAACCAGCCTGGAAAAAGGACAGGGCAATGGCAAGGGCCCAAGGGAGGATCTGATCTAATTGGTAGCATCACGCAACATGTCTATCATAGGGGGAAGAAAAAGGATTTTGATATGCAAGACACTTTGTCAATATACAAACTTGGAGCGTCTAAGAGAGACTCCGAGTCTCAAAAAAATAGTGACGACATGCGTGGGTACACTATATATATATCTATATATATATAGGAAAATTCTTCCCAACTACTATAGGTGAAAGTGAACAGTGATTCTCCTACCCTCATCACTGTCCAAAGTTCATCGCACGGTCACGATTGTCCAATAGTGTTTCATTTTTCATTTTTCATTTTCTTTCTACAAATTGGAATGATCTGAAATTTGGAGCACGTGTACATCTTAGTGAGGCGCACCTAATAAAAATATAAACAAAATAATTTGCGAAAAATATTTTGACCAAAATACCCCTGAAATTTTTCGGGGGTATTTTGATTAATTTATTCATGTAAAATATTTTTTTGATATTTTTTGTGACCATGCGATGAACAATGAAACACTACCAGACAATCATGATTTGT